AGCAAGAAACATTGAACTAAACATGAAGTTTATTGGTAATAAAACTGAAACATACTCAATTATTTTTATTTACAACTCTGAAAAATAATTTACTGTGTATTGAATCCTTAAAGGAATAGTTTGCCCAAAAATGAAAATTGTCATCTTTTACTCAATCTCAAGTTGTTCCAAACCTGTATGAGTTTGTCTTATTTTGAAGAATGCTGGTAACCAGACAGTTGCTGGTAGCCATTGACTTTCATAGTATGGTAAAAATACTGTCAAAGTCAATGGCAACCAGCAACTGTTCCTGATCCTTGACCAGAAAACAAACAATGAGTCAGACTGTTACAATTTATTATCAGAAATATATTTTCATAATTTTTTTTTTTTATATTGTGGCTAAACAAAGCAAAAGTGTGAAGATATCATGCAGCATACTTTATTATTTCTGTCTGTTAGGCGATACACATCTAAAATTAGACTTAAAATATTTTTTTGTTAGGATTAGTTAGCATATTCCTTCAGGCTACCTTTTAATGACAATTACATTTTTTAATGCCTCCTGACAATTTCTGTGCAAGGTCATTTAATTTCAGGGCAGATTGAGCCAGCGAGAAAACACCTCTGCATATCCAAGTTCAATGGGCCTTAAGGCCAAATGGGCCCCAACAGGTTCAATTATAACACAGAAACATATAAATCTGTGTTTGCAATAGGTGTTCACACACTACAGAGCTGATCAATATAAAGATGGAGATTTTACACTGTAAAACTGCATTCTGTTAACCTGGATTTGGCCTCTTGTAGCATATTGCTAGATTGTTAGATTTAACTGCTCAGTTGTTTCATTAAAATAAAGAAATAGTAGGCTATATACTCATGAAAAATGCAAAAACACAAAATCCTATGTGTTTGAAGAGTACTGTCCTTTTAAGAGCGTGTTGGTGTTAGTCGCTGTGTGCATGTAATGATTGCTGAGCTGAGCTGAATGCGCTCATGCATAAAAAGGAGTTCATAATGTTACTTTGAAATGCATAAGAAACGTATTTCAGCACCAAATTATGCTTGTTCATTTATCCGTCTGTGCAGTTAGCCAAAGTTCAGCTATCCATTTTGTGCCTAAAATCATTTGTTTAGACACGTGTGCAATGACAGTACTCTTAATGTCAGGGATACATATGTTCATAGTTGTAATATGTGCTGTATCATTATTATTTAAACATAATAGAACGTGCACACATAACACCCAACCCGTTATTCAAATATAGTAGGTATAACTTTGAGCCGTTTTTCAAGATCTAACATCCTAACATCCCAGAGCATGCTAGGTAGGATAGGCTTATTTTTTCCTAATTCAAATAGTATATATATATATATATATATATATATGTATATTATCAGATTTCAGAATGTACTCTGTCTTAAGATAAAGTTGGAGTGTGTCATTTTTTATGCAAAGTTTGTTTACAGTTCACTGAGTGCACTGAGTGCCAAAGACTATAACTCTGAGCATTGCTTAGGTATTAATCATTATTTGCACTTGCGTTATTTGCACTTAATGTAAATATGCATTTTGTTGCTATTTAAACAGTATCTACAGCTCTTTACACTGAGTCTAAGTAGCAGCTTTTTTCCACTTAGTTTCTTATGTTGCTTTCTTCTATTTCAGCTTAATACACAGAGACAACTATAAGTAAGCTAATTTCTTGGATGTTTTCCCCCAAAAGTGATTTAAGCCTATAGGCTGTATTATAATGGTGTGATGCATAAATTTGCTTGTAGCATAAAAACTGAGTTGGTGTATACAAAATAATATGGTAACACTTTACAATAAGGTTTCATTTCTTAACATTAGCTAACTGCAGTAGCCCTAGTATAAATACCTCTACAGCATTTATTAATCTTCAAATAATGTTACTTTTTTCATTTATTAATACATTTTTTAAATCAAATGTTGCGTCTGTTAACATTAGTTAATGCACTGCATTAACTAAAATTAACAAAGGTTAATATGCTGTAAAAAAAATATATTGCTCATGCTAATGAATGCTTGCATTGTTAACAGTGTTACCAAATAAGACCTTACTGTAAAGTGCTACCAATAATATTGAACAGCATTTTGTTTGAAATAAGACTGCATTGCAGATAATATATTGGTATATGCCTTTTATCTTTAAATTATTTAGCATGATTGAAATTTCCAGTAGCATGTTACCGTGCCTTGCAAACGCATTCACAGCCTTTAAAAATCCTACATTGAAATCTACTTCTTAGTGACATTTTTATTTTAAAACTCTAGCTCATATTTATTTTAATATAACTTTATGTTAGGAAACTTCCTAGCAGAGATAAAATGCTGAAATTAGCTTTTTGCATAAGTATCCTGTCCCTGCATCGCAGACGATCCCAATTTACACAGATGAAAAACAATTGCCCTGATGAGGACACAATTACCTCACAATTGTGCTCTGCGTGTGAATCATTAAAATAACGACCACATTTTCTGGATAAAATTAACCCTACAGTAAACGGATCATTATTCAGGTTGTGAATATAAAGTACATCTTCAAGGTTGAGGTACTTCAATGCAACCAATAAAAAAAATGCTTAAATCGCTGTAAACATGTTGAATGCAACACTTTAAATGAACATAATGCACATACAGCTAATACTTTTCTTTTAAAGAGAGCACTCGTGGGGTTGAAGAGCATTTAAAAATAATCATTTGGATCCAACATTGATTGATACGCACTGTGAAATGCTTCAAAGTATGCATACCACACAAAAAAAAAACATTTTAGTATACTAGGTTCAATTTATTTTTCCTCTTTATGGCCATATGATGTCAAACATGTTATACTTTGCAGTGTGATTCATTTAAATGTTGTAGTGCAAAATCATGAAGTCGAGAAGCAGATATCCGTTATTTAAACTGTCTTTTTTTCAGTCATTCTGTTTGATACAGATGCATTAAAATGCTGCTAAATTATTGTAAACAAAGCCTGACTAATATATGTAACCGCTCAACCTGTGTTTCAGGATATGTTGATGATAACTAAACAATGAAGACAGGTAAAGACTTTAATTATTGGTTATTGCTTGGCTTACCGTTGGACCTAATTGTTAAACTCAATCATGTTCCATTTAGCTTTAATGCTTAAACTGTGCATATCAATTAGCTTATAATAGACAATGCATTGCGCTGACATTTGTTAGAACAAAAAGCATGCATGCCACATTGTTTTTGCCAATCACTTGTTTGCACGCACTTTTAGGTGAAAAACACTATACTGGGGAAAGAACTAAAGATAGCAACAAATTAGTTTTTATGCATTTTTCAACCAACAGAGAGTAGGTATGAAAACTTTCAAAACAGTGCATGGCCTAGATTGCATAAACAGAAACACAAATTGGGATAGCAGACTCAAATAGAACAGTATAAACCTATGCTACATAAAATCAAGCACCTCCAATTAAATTTTTATATAGAGAAAGAATCATTTAAATTTGCTTTTTGTGACAACGTCCCTCCCTTTTAGCTGAAATGGAGCTATTTATCTGACTGTACCTACGGGTCAGTGCTCCATTCGCCGAGGGAGAGTCCAGACCGGAGAACCGCACCAGTAGTGTTGGGTCAAATATCACCTCACCTTACTTATTCCAACGGCTCTGCATGATTGCATGAGGTAACCTTTTGATCTCCATATAACGATGCAATGAGCTTGAATTTTCCATTGACCCTTCTTCTTTGGCAAGGTTATTACATGAATAGCTGAAGGCAGTGTCACTCATGCAACCTTTGCTGATTGTTTGCACTACACAGCTATTGCAAGATGGATGCCGAATGACAGGATTAGGCTGTTGATTACAGGTTTTTGTTGAATGAATGCTTTAAAAGCAGCCTTGTCACTGTTTGCAGGTAACTTGCATGTTTTTGAAGGTATTAATCTGTCCTCGAGTGCAAAAGGTGACAACAGTCTCAGTCACGTAATCCATACTTTGATATCAAGAAAGACAGAGTCTGATATCAAACAAGACACGCTACTTGACTCCTGGCAAATTAATAGGGAGATCAAAGAAGTTGTCGTCACATTGGAAAAGGACCTGATGAGAAATTAAACATGAGGTACTGCGTCAAACCATTCTGCTTTTGATAAAGATCCCTGTGAACGTGTGTCTGGTGAATTACCTCCTGTGTTTCACATCGAAAAATGCTAATAAAGCAACAGTGTTTATATTTAAAGGAATAGTTCACCTAAACATGACAATTTGCTGAAAATGTATTTACCCACATGCCATCCAAGATCTAAGTGAGTTTGTTTATCGTAACAGATTTGTGGAGAAATTTAACATTACATCACTTGCTCACCAATGGATCTTCTGCAGTGAATGGGTGCCGTCAGAATGAGAGTCAAAACAGCTACTAAAAACATCACAAGTAATCCACGTGATAAAAAGCTGCATGTTTGTAAGAAACAAATGCATCATTACCCTAGTTTTTGCCTTCAAATGAGTACTCGATCTATAATATTGCTTTCTCCAGTGAAAAAGTAATATCTTAATCAGGAGAGAAATATGCACAGATCAATTTACAAGTGAATCAGTCCAACACCATTTAAAACAAATATGTCGTGGATTTTGATGTGAGAGGACAACAGGGAAGGACTTTTTCACTAGAAAAAGCGTTTTATGGATTATGGACTCTGGATATTTTGGCCAGAAGCGACCGTTTAAAGTTACAAACACGCATCTTTTCATTTAACAAGACATTGATAACTGGATTGACTGGAGTCATGGGGATTATTTGTGGATTATTGTGATGTTTTTATCCGCTGTTTGGACTCTCATTATGATGGCACCCATTCACTGCAGAGGATTTGCCGCTTTCATTTCTTCAAATCTGTTCCAATGAAGAAACCAATTTTTGGCTTTTCATATTTTCAGCAAATTTTCATTTCCTTTAAGCACTTCTGAGACTCAAATGATCTATTTTTATCACATTCTCTCTTCCTCTGCAGGACTCAGCCCTAAACAAACGTACATCAGCTACAGCAACCACGCAATCTAGGTAAGTGATAAAAGGCCACTACCAAACCCCAGAAGTGACCCCTGGAAGACAGCATTTCAAGATAAATCACTCTCACGTTATGTCACTTATAGAAGTGAGATAGCGGATGGTTGGAAGACCCCCACAGACATGTTTCCATTAATGAAGCTTATGTGAAGTCACACAGGGAGCATCTGGGGAGGCCGAGACTGTTGAGACGGTGTGTCGGAATGACGGTCTGTCACCCAGACTATTCCATTACAGCTTGCTCTATCTATTCCAGATGTCATTGTTAAAGTGATTCACACTAATTAAGGACAACATGTCAGTGTCTGCTGTTTCATTGACGCTAACACTATGTGGTGGCTTAAAAAAAAAAAGAAGAAGAAAAAAAAGTATTTAAAAAAAATAATTCAAAGCTTTTTCCTCTTGTTTTCTCCTTGGTGATGACAACAGCAAAGACAGTGACTATTGTTTACAGATGTTGAGCATGCTGGTTTTGACATCCTGTGCTGTGTTGTTTTTTCTTTCTTTCTTTATTTTCCTTTTTGCAAAAAAAAAAAAAAGAACCTTCTGGAATGCTGTTGAACTATGTTGCTGTATTGTTACCTCACCATGGGCCTTGTGAAACTGTTGAAGATGTACGAAGTGCTCTTTGGAGTAATGTTTGCTTGTGCATAAGTACACACACCTTTGAGGAACTCAAATTTGCCCTATTGTCAAAATGTGCTATAACTGTCACAGTCACCTGTGCAAATCTGAAATCACAATTTAGAAATGGTGTGACGTTCGTCGAATACTCGAAATATCGGAACCAACGTCCACTGGACCGGGGCGGCACGAGTGAGTCACTTTCATACGAATACAGCTATCAAAGACTCTTCTGTGGCAATTGGAAGAATCACCACTTTCAAGTAAACTGACGGTTCTGAGAAGCTCGGATGATGGAGTAGATGACAGGATCCTGTATTCATATCTGGAAATATCAGGCGATAGAGAGAGACAAGCTGATTTGTCTCTTTAGATGTTTGTGAATTTAAGATTCAGTTCTTATGATTTCTCCTCTCTTTGTTTTTGCACTGTTTGTGCTGCAGAATGAAATGTCTATGTTGACCGTGATAAATGGCAACTTAATGTGTGTTCCTGATTGCTAATGTTTGCTCTTCATCCTAAAAGAGAAAAAAAACAAAAACGTCAGAAACAGTGCCTGAATTAAAGTATTTGTAAAATAAGACATATGAGGTATGTGAAGCATGTTAATTTTTATACATAAATAATTTCTAATAAAGAAATTTTTCAAAACTCATTGTTTTCTGAAAAATCATCTCTGCAATGTTGGCACACTGCAATACGGTTGCTAGGTTGTTCTGGGTGGTTGCTAGGGCATTGCTTGGCGGTTATTATGGTATATGCTGTAAATCTGTGGGATTTTTTCACTTGTTTTTCCACCATCAAGCAAAAACCAAAAGTCGGATTTCTTAGAAAAGTGATAGCGCAGCTCTCTTCTATAAACCACAGATTTTGAGTGAAGATTCAGGTCTGTAGCTCAAACTTGGCTTTTTTTTTTTTTGTCTGCAAGAAGAAAAATATAACAAACAATAATACTTACACAAGCATAATAATAATAATAATAGACTAACCCTAATCCTAATAAGTAGACTCAAGTGTAATGCTTTTTAATTTAATAATGCTTTTGTATAAAAACTAACAAAAAAATTCTCTTAATGTGCTAATATGCTATTGTATTTATTTTTATTAATATTCTTAGTCAAAAACACAAGAGGAGTGTTCTCATGCCTAAATGAAAAATAAAATATTCTCTTTTGTGCATTTAAAATTTCCTTCAAAAAGGCACTTAGTCTTGAAGATTAGGAGACAACCTGACACAAAAGCACGGTGGAAATGAAAAGAAATGTAATTTGACTGAAACATTTTTTTTTTACAACAGGCAGTCGTCTATCATAATGTGCATTTCAGAAGGACCATTATTAAGTGTGAGATATATCTGCTATCAGTGGCAACAGCGCAGAGGAAGACAGGTGCTATAAAGAAAAGCACCGGTGCTTTGACTCTGTGATGTATAACGGCGCAGCTACCAGACATAAATTATAGGCCATGTTAGGCTTATTTAGGTCTGTCTCGAATACAGCACATAAAACAGGGACTTGATTGGAATGCTGCTCCATCTCTCTGACAGTGCTTAGAAACTGATGGAAAGAGCATATAGTGAAGGGTGGATCAGGATGCTGTGCAAAGGAGGTCATGTTCTCTGAGATCAATACATCTCTGTGTGTGTGTGTGTGTGTTGTTAGCTGAAGAAGATTCTTCCTTATTTATAAGTTAAACTTTCATAAGCATTTATTATTTGAATTATAATAATATTATTACTGTTTATTTATTAAATATAAATATTTTAAAGTACTAATATTATTTAGTATGTGTGTGTATATATACAGTATATGTATGTACATAATTGTAATATTTATATTGCTGCTTTAATAGCGAAATATGAATATTATTGTCATCCTGAACTGTACATTATCTTGATCATTACACAGCTACTGAATAAATAAATAAAAAATATAAATAAATAAAATGAAAACATGAAATATTGATGTGAGCTGAAATTAATTTTATATGTGATAAGAACGCGATCACAGCATGCTATGAAACATGAAACAATGTAGGAAAGTGGTTGCCAGGGACAACAGTCAAATATACAGTTTGGCTTATATAACCAAAGAATGTTGTGACTGACTAATCAGAATCAATTATTCCACAGAGGTATGTAATAATTTATTAATACTGTAATAATTATTCTACATTAGCTCTTTTAACCCAGCATTTTCAGGAGGCAGTATCTTAAATATTTACTGTAGTAGCCTATTATTTGTTCATTCACACAGCAGTCTTTCAAAATTTCCATGTTGGCTATAGACTTTGAATGTGGTCTCAGACTTTTGGACCCTACTGTATGCACATTTACAGTATACGTTTTACTTATAATTAATATTTGCAGTCTTTACAGTTGATCCTTGCCAATGCTAGGTCTACATAATCATGTTTGACTGTTTTTTTGCTGATAATTTACACCATTATAGCACAGACTGGGTTATGTACGAACAAATGTACTTTGTTAAAAGTATATTCATTATTTTTTTCATATAAATATGAATTTTAAACAGCGCACTGAAGTAACATTTTAGTTGGGTTATCATTGGTGATACGTCTGATCATTTTACAAATGTAGTCTGACTTTATGCACATTGCTACTCAGATTCTATTTCAAATCAACTGCATTCAAATCCATTTGGACATTGGGGCTAAACAATTTCAAGAAATTGAAACAAACAGCTGCTCAGGTTGACTTCAGTGAAACAGCACCTCATAGTGGCACTCTGTGGGTGTGTGTTTACCATGTGTACTGTGGTCTCATACGGTATATCACATTCTGGCAAGCTGCGTAAATACTGTAAGAACAACCCTGTAGCTTGTCATCACGCAAAATAGACACTAAAGCTATTTAAATTCCCTGACTCAGACTAATTTTGCAGCGCTAACTCTACCTTCTGCCTGAAAGGGATTCACAAACACTTAAGGATAACGGATTAGGTTTTGTAAATGTGTATTTTGCAGGCGTACATGTGTTTGGTGTTGGGAAAAGCCTGTGATGAAAAGCGGCTTTGTTTACGGTTACAGAGGTGTCAAGTTATAGTCGGGCCAAGCAATTTGCACTGAGCCTCAATCTATCAAAATGGCAGCTGGTGCAGCAGGTCCTTAGAGAATTCTCCTGAAGAAAGTATGCTTTATTTGTTCCCTTTATATAGTTTACTGTGTGTGTCTTATGGTTAAAATGTAAAAAAAAAAAAAAGAAAAGATCATGTCAGCCGCCTTTGCAGGTTGAACTCTAACATGCTTTTCTCAACTGTGTCTTCTACCAATGTTCTCTCAAAAATGTCAATTAGTTCCAATTTGAATGGCTGACTTTATGCAGTGTCTGAGTGTCACCCATCTGTCTGGAAACAAAGTCGTGTTTACCAAGTATCAGGTTGATGTAATCACTGCATTTAGCCGAGTTTGCCATGTTGGTCAGTTTACATGTCAGTTAGACAGTCCTTTCCTCTCTAGATGTTTGTGTCCAGAAAAAGCTGCAAAGTGGACTAGACTTTATACCAATGTACTCATACTGTAAACGAGAGCAGATTTAAACAATGATTGAAATTTAAATGAACCAGGTTTGAGTAAAATACAACTGAAATGTGATCTATTCCTTACATTATATATTAAACATTTTTAAAATATGAAAAAAAATATATAATTACAGTATATAGGGTCATATGTATTACCTTTATGGTACGTTTTGCCCTTATTCGCTTGACAGCCACTGGTCACCCTTAAGAGCAGCTTGGATATTTGGCTAAATAACATATATTGCAATCCATAAAGAATAAAAGATGATTATTCAAATCAATATATTACAAAATTTAATTTTAGGACATTGGCTCCAACACATTTGCTGAACTTTGAAGACCAGGCACTTAAACAATAGTGAACAATGAATAAAAGAATCCAACAGGATCATAAAATACAGAATTAGGTCAAGTGTACTGTATTTGCTGGATCGTCCCTTCCTCCCAAAGCATAAATTCACTCAGAATCTTTCCCCAGTTCTGCATAATAAACTACAGGCTTAGCAGCTGAGCAGATCCCAGAGCTGCTGAACTGTGGATGTGGTCTCAAGTGTTAGTCACATCACGTTCTGCTTTATTATTATTGTGCTCTTGAGGAAGTCATTTAACCCTAACTTGCAGTGTTGCTCCGGTGGGAATTCCCTGCAGTCGCTCAACACAATAACTGTGCTCTGAAGTATCCACTTACTAATTCCTTTGAATCTAAATGATGGTCTCATCAGATAGTTGAAAAAAAAAAAAACATTTGGGCCTTATAAAATTTTGCTTTTTGAGAAGTTTGATCAGAGGACTTGTGCTCATGGAGGTGACCATGAGATACAGTATTTTAATTATGTAAGCTACGGCCAAGAAATAAGTGCTTATGAGGGGCTTACAAGGTCTGTACTGTAAATACTGTACTTGTTGGTAATTAATAGGGATTTTAGTTGTGTTTACAGATCTGTCTAGCATTATTTCTTTCTTTTTATTTTCTTTCTTTTTTTTTAGGTCATGAGAACCTTTTCATTGCTGAACATATGAAATTCAGTCAGTAAGTTTGGGGTCAGTAAGATTTAATTACATTTTTTATTTTATTTATTTTATTTTATTTTATTTTATTTTTTCAAATAAATTATTAGTAGCCTACATTTAACACATTAAATTTAACCTACATTAAACAATACATTTAAATATTATTTT